TAAAATCACCCAGGAGAGGAAGATGAGGAAAAGAGGATGAGGATGTGGAGAAAAAAGAGGCAGTGAAAAAGATAGCATTGTTGAGCAAGAAGGGTCAGAAAGAGCCAAGACCCAGAAGGCAGGGACACAGGGAAGTCCAAGAATGAATGGAACAGGCAGCCCGGTCATGTGTTCCAGAGATAGGCGGAGACCTGAAACTGGGTTTCAACTACAGGCTTCTTTGGGGATATCATGGGTTTGGTTACAGACCACTGTAATAAAACCACTCACACGAAGTTGGTTTCCCAGTGCATATAAAAGTCTTGTTTATACTATTCTATAGTCTATTAAGTGTACAATAGCATATGTCGTAAAACAATGTATGTACCTTAATTTTAAAAATACTTTGTTGCTAAAAAATGATAATGATTGGCTGGTGTGGTGGTTCACACCTATAGTCCCAGCACTTTAGGAGAATGAGGCGAGTGGATCACTTGAACCCACGAGTTTAAGACCAGCCTGGGCAACATGGCGAAACCCTGTCTCTACAAAAATTAGAAAAATTAACCAGGAGTGGTGGTGTGTGCTTGTAGACCCAGGTACTTGGAAGGCTGAGGTGGGAGGATCACCTGAGCCTGGGAAAGTCAAGACTACAGCGAGCCATGATCACGCCACTGTACTAGAGTCTGGGCAACAGAGTGAGACCCCCATCTCAAAAAATAATGCTAACAATTGAGTTACAAGCTTTTTGTTGGTGGAAGGTCTTGCCTTGAGGCTGATGGCTGCTGGCTGATCAGGGTGGTGGTGCTGTAGTTTGAGGTGGCTGTGGCAATTATTAAAATAAGAACAGCATTTCACAAAAGATTCTCTGTAGCATGTGATGCTGTTTGATAGCATTTTATCTACAATAGAAGTTCTTTCAAAATTGCAGCCAATCCTCTAAACCTGCCATTGCTTTATCAACTACATTTATGGAATATTCTAAATCCTTTGTCGTCATTTCGACAATGTGTACAGCATCTTCCCCAGGAGTAGATTTTATCTCAAGAGACCACCTTCTTTGCTCATTTACAGAAAGCCAACTCCATTCAAGTTTTGTTTGGGATTGCAGGAATTCAGTTACATCTTTAGGCTCTTCTAATTCTAGTTCTCTTGCTGTTTGTACCATGTCTGCAGTTACTTCCTCCACTGATGCCCTGACTACCTCAGAGTCATCCAGGAGGGTTGGAATCAACTTCTTCCCAACTCTTGTTGCTGTTGTGATTTTGACCTCCTCTCATGAATCACAAATGTTCTGAATGGCATCTAGAATGATGACTTCTTTCCAGATAGTTTTCCATTTACTTTGCCCAGATCCATCTGAGGTGTTGCTATCTCTGGCAGCTATATACTTACGAAATTTGTTTCTTAAAATAGTAAGACTTGAAATCAAAGTAACTCCTTGATCATGGGCCACAGAATGGATATTGTGTTAGCAGGCAAGAAAAAACATTCATCTCTCTGTATATATTTCTGTCAGAGCTCCTGGGTGACCAAGTGCATTGTCAGTGAGCAGTAGTAATATTTTGAAAAGAATCTTGTCTTTTTTCTTAGCAGTAGGTCTCAAGAATGGGCTTAAAACATACAGCAAACCATGCTATTAACAGATGTGCTGTCAGCCAGGTTTTATTGTTCCATTCACAGAGCAGAGGCAGAGAAGATTGAGTACAATTCTTAAGAGCCATAGGATTTTTAGAACGGTGAATGAGCCTTGGCTTCAACTGAAAGTCACCAGCTCTGTTTGTCCCTAACAAAAGAGCCAGACTGTCCTTCGAAGCTTTGAAGCTAGGCATTGACTTCTAGCTATGAAAGTTGTAGATGGCATCTTCTTCTAATAGGAGGCTATTTTGTCTATATTGAAAATCTGTTGTTGAGGGTAGCCACCGTCACCAATGACCTTAGGCAGATCGTCTGGATAACTTGCTGCAGCTTCCACCTCAGCGCTTGCTGCTTCATCTTGTGCTTCTATGTTACAGAGACAGTTCCTTTCCTTCAGTCTCATAAACCAGCCTCTGCTAGCTTCAGACTTTCCTTCTGCAGGTTCCTCACCTCTCTCATCTTTCATAGAAGTGAAGAGAGTCAGGGCTTTGCTCTGGATTAGAATTTGGTTTAAGGGAATGTTGTGGCTGGTTTTATCTTATATCTAGACCACTCAAACTTCCCATATCAGAAAAAGGCTATTTTGGCCTTTTGTAACATTTGCGTGTTCACTGGAGTAGCACTTTTAATTTCCTTTGGGAACTTTTCGTTTGCCTTCACACCATGACTGATTGGTGCAAGAGACTTAGCTTTCGGCCTCTTAGGACATACCTTCCTCACTAGGCTTAATCATTGCTGGCTTTTGATTTAAAGTGAGAGACTGATGATGTTTCCTTTCACTTGAACACTTAGTGGCCATTGTAGGTTTATTAATTGGCCTAATTTCAATATTATTGTGTCTCAGGGAGTAGGGAGGCCCGAGGAGAGGGAGAGAGGAGAGGGAGAGAGTCGGGGGAATGACCCCAGTCAGTGGGGCAGTTAGAACACCCACAACAGGTATTGATTAAGGACACCTACAACACATATTGATTAAGAACACCCACAGCATGTATTCGTTGATTAAGAACACTCACAACAGGTATTGATTAAGAACACCCACATAGGCTAGGCACAGTGGCTCACACCTATAATCCCAGCACTTTGGAGGACAAGGCAGGCAGATCACCTGAGGTCAGGAGTTCAAGATCAGCCTGACCAACATGGAGAAACCCCGTCTCTACTAAAAATACAAAATTAGCTGGACATGGTGGTACATGCCCGTAATTGCAGCTACTCAGGAGGCTCAGGCAGGAGAATCGCTTGAACCCAGGAGGTTCAGTGAGCCGAGATCACACCATTGCACTCCAGCCTGGGCAACAAGAGCGAAACCCAGTCAAAAAAAAAAATAAAAGAACACCCATAACATGTATTGATTAAGTCCACCATCTTACACAAGTGCAGTTCGTGGTGCCCCAAAACAATTACAGTGGTAACACCAAAGATCACTGATCACAGATCACCATAACAGATCAAATAATAATGAAAAGATTTGAAATACTGTGAGAATTACCAGAACATGACCCACACGAAGTGAGCACATGCCGTTGGAAAATGGCACCGATAGACTTGCTCATTCAGGGTTGCCACAGACCTTCACTTTGGAAAAAATGCAGTACAGTTGTGAGACAGTGACGCACGATAAAGTGTGAGGTGCCTGTTAGGAAGCCGTTGCTGTCCATGAGGAGGGCAGCTGCAGCCAAAAGGTAGTGCGGAGGCCAAACTGCCCCAAATTCAGGAGTGACTAGAGCAGAAGGAGCCCAGCAAGAGGAGATCACGTTTCCCAGGAGCTGGTAGGAAGGTGAAGGAGAATCAGGGGCAGGGTGAGGGGAGGGTAGAATCCAGATCGTAGGGCTCCCGGGAACACATATGGTTTGCTGAAAAAGAGGAACGAGTGGAGGAGAAATTGAAAGTATAGCTGACAATTTTGGAGGTCAAGGCGGGCGAATAACTTAAGGTCAGGAGTTCGAGACCAGCCTGGCTAACATGCTGAAACCCTGTCTCTACTAAAAATACAGAAATTAGCCAGGCATGGTGGCACATGCCTGTAGTCCTAGCTTGGGAGGCTGAGGCAGGAGAATCACTTGAACCCGGGAGGTTGCAGTGAGCCAACATTGTGATACTGCACTCTAGCCTTGGTGACAGAGTGAAATTCCATCTCAAAAAGGAAAAAAAAAAAGTATAGCTGACAGCTGGTGGAATGGGGTTCTTTAGGCGAATGGGTGCTTAGCGTTGTTGAGGAAGAGAAAGTCTGGCTCTGCTGCGAGTTGCCTTGAGGGCAGGTACCACATCTTCTTCACTCCCCAGCACCAAGCAATAGGCCCTCAGAAAATGTTTATACAAATGAGTTAAGATTTTACTTCTTAGAAGTAGTCTTGACTGATATTGTAGAATACCAAAAAACTTCACTGTTTTTATGCCAGAATTACCATCCTGTATTGTACTGTATGTAAGCAATGTATTTGTAACCAGCACTTTGGGAGGCTGAGGTGGGCAGATCATCTAAGGTCAGGAGTTTGAGGCCAGCCTGGCCAACATGGTGAAATCCCATCTCTACCAAAAAATACAAAAAATTAGCTGGGCATGGTGGTGCATGCCTGTAGCGGAGGCTGAGGCATGAAAATCACTTGAACCAGGGAGGCGGAGGTTGCAGTGAACTAAGATCAAGCCACTGCACTCCAGCCTGGGTGACGAGACTCCATCTCAAAAAAAAACAAAAAAACAAAAAAAACCACAAAAGTTCTGTGATGATAGGTATGAGACACTGTACCTGGCCCTCTTTTTGATGTTCTGTGTTACATTTTGCCTACTGCAAATATTTCTAATATTAACAAAGACTGAATTTATAGACAACTTTTGATTCTGTGTAACTTAATTCTTTCAGAGTATATTCAAAAAGAACAAATTGGTTAGGAGAGGTAGAGTCAGCTCATCACAGACCATATTTCAGGGTGCAGATGGTGAGGGAATTAGCGTGGGTTGTATCCTGCTGTGCCAGTTACAATGTTGTAGATGGAAAACCCCAAACAAATATGTGGAGACTCTTCTGGTTCACATTTTTCTTTCTACTGCTTGTAAACCGGAGCACATACTGATGAGATCTCATTTTATATTATCCTTTTTCCCCCTAAGTTCACTAGAAAACATTTTGCCTTTTTTTCTTAATAAATCATTGCCAGTGAAATATGTTACATAAAATATGCTAAGCAAATCAAATGAGCATATCTAGAATTCACTTATGAGGACTGTAATGCATTGTTTCAAATACTGATTTATCTTTCTAAATAAAATTGCTTCATTTGATGAATTGCTGCCTGGAGACATTGATTGATTGATTGATTGGAACATTATTTGGCCTTCAGAGTTTTATCTCTGCATTTTCTTTTTTTTTTTTTTTTTTTTAACAGTGGGTGCCTGATAGACACCCTAGGATTATTCAGACGGAAAAGACCAGCTTTTGCAAAACAATGCTGAGGGACACTATGAAATCCTGGAATGATAGCCAGTCAGATCTGTGTAGCACTGACCAAGAAGAGGAAGAAGAGATGATTTTTGGTGAAAATGAAGATGATTTGGATGAGATGATGGATTTAAGTGATCTGCCTACCTCACTTTTTGCTTGCAGCGTCCATGAAGCAGTGTTTGAGGCACAAGAGCAGAAGGTAGGCATCTGTCCTCCCTTTCCCTGCATCTGTATCATGTTGAATGTGTGTGGATTTGGAGAAACAGTTTGCCTGGTCCCTGACAAATTACGTACAGAAAGTGTATATCCCCTGTTAGGCCAGGCTCGGTGCCTTATGCCTGTAATCCTAGCACTTGGGGAGGCCGAAGCAGGCAGATCACCTGAGGTCAGGAGTTCGAGACCAGCCTGGGCAACGTAGTAAGATCCTCATCTCCATAAAATAAAAAAATAATAATAAATTTAAAAGTGCATTGAGGTAAGAAAGGAGGAAGGATCACAGCCAGTGGAATAAAAGACCTCACAGGGAGGTGGCATTGGAGAAGGGCTGTTGAGAGCTGGGTAGGATTCTAGCAGGGAAGGGAAAGGGAATTTTGGCCAGAGGAAACAGAATAAGAAAAGAGCTGCATCGGGAGAGTGTGGGCAATTTTAGGAGTGGCAAGCCATTCTGTGTGCTTAGCACATAGCTGATATGTGGCCAGAGTCAGGAGAAATCCAGCTCGAAGGGCGAGTATGGGGCCGCCCAGCAATACCCCATGAATGTCCACCTCAGGAGCTTGTCCTTTTGTGGGAAATGGTCTAGAGGGCTTCTGAGCAGAGTGGCCATCATGTCAGGAAGCTCAGCCCACAGCACTTGGACGGCAGAGCGATGGGAATAGACGGCAGAGCAGAGAGGGAGCTCTCAGAGCACTCCGGCCTGGAGATGACCCACCCTGAAGCGGAGCAGGGAAGGGGGCTGTGGCCGCCAGCTTTGTGTCTTTCAGGGTTGTTCTCATTTACAAATGCTATTTGCTTTCCCAAGTTCAGTCATAATTTAGACATTTTGAAATCATCCTTTTTTCTCATACTAAGAGCTCTAAGTTTTTATGTTATAAATAAGTTAACCTTGTTTATTTGTTGTAAAAAAAACACATGTATTGCCAATTTATCTTAAAACTATATATGTGCTGGGTGCGGTGGCTCACACCTGTAATCCCACCACTTTGAGAGGCAGAAGTGGGCGGATCGTGAGATCAAGAGATTGAGACCATCCCAGTCAACATGGTGAAACCCCATCTCTACCAAAAGTACAAAAAGTAGCTGGGTGTGGTGGCACTCGCCTGTAGTCCCAGCAGCTCAGAAGGCTGAGGCAGGAGAATTGTTTAAACCCTGGAGGGGGAGGTTGCGGTGAGCTGAGTTCGTGCCATTGCACTCCAACCTCCAGCCTGGGCAACAAGAGCGAAACTCCATCTCAAAAACAGACAAACAAACAAAAAACACTGCATACGTAGGAATGTTCTCAGAAATCTCACAGTCTTTTCTATTTCAACCTTTTCTTTTTAACTGTAGCTTGGGAAATTTTTAACTTGCGAAAAGGGTGGATTCTTGTTGGTTTTCATTTTTCAAACCATTTGGGGGTTACGTCTAACCTAAATTTATACTGGAAATCATCCCAGCAGAAATTCTAGTCAGAGCAGTTCAGCGGACTTCCTAGTGAATTTTATTTAATATGCCTAACAGTAATATCTGAAATGACAAAATATAGAATGTTTATATTATAGTTATCTATAAATTATCAATTGGATATAACATGTGGACAGAATCAAGGCCAGGCATGATGGCTCATGCTTGTAATCCCAGCACGTTGGGAGGCCAAGGCGAGAGGATCGCTTAAAGCCAGGAGTTTGAGGTCAGCCTGGGCAACGTAGTGAGACCCTATTTCTATTAAAATAATATTTTTTTAAAATATGGGCAGAATCAAATGTTTCCTTTACATTTTTTTTTTCTATCAGTGTCTTATTTTGTTTTAATTTTTTCCTGAAGTCACCTGTTTGTTCAGGTCATCTCTGTGCAAAAAACAGTTTCTTCTGTTGGATTATAGACAGAATAATCCTGTTTGCAATTAAACACTTTAATTTCAAAAAATCATTTCTGGCTGGGCGCAGTGGCTCACACCTGTAGTCCCAGCACTTTGGGAGGCTGAGGCAGATGGATTACTTCAACCCAGGAGTTCGAGACCAGCCTGGCCAACATAGTAAGACCCCCATCTCTATTAAAACAATTTTTTTTTCTCACTTGAAAAAGTTTTTGTCTTTATAAGTTTCTAACTATTGGAGTAAGCGTTTACATTCTTCTGAATAATAGAATAAATAACACAGGTGCAATTATGTAAAGGTAAATCTTCGCTTTAGATCATTGGATTTTGGCTCCGTGTTTTCATCAATATTTCTTAAGAATAGTGTCGGGGGATAATAAATCATAGGAAAATAAACTATAAGAAAAATAAATGGAGAAAAAGACTTATCTTTCAATGTATATTCCTCAGCTGTAGGGTTGTTAATTTTATGCATGTGCCCTGCTAATCATTAGCTCCACCAGGAGTGTGACAGGCAGCGCTTCATTTTTCTTTGACAGATTTGGATTTGTCCCAATGTGATTGTGTTTGCTTGTTTGTTGTTTTTAACCCTAGTTTTTCCTCTCTCTTTTTTAAAAGTGACAGGGTCTTGCTCTGTCTTCTAGGTTGGACTGTGGTGGCACAATCGTAGGTCACTGTAACCTTGACCTCCTGGGCTTAAGCAATCCTCCTACCGCAGCCTCTCAAGTAGCTGGGACTGCAGGCATGCACCAACACACCTGGCTAATTTTTGTTGTTGTTGTTGAGATGGAGTCTCTGTCACCCAGGCTTGAGTGCAGTGGTGCAGTCTCAGCTCACTGCAATCTCTGCCTCCTGGATTCAAGCGATCCTTCCATCTCAGCCTCCCAAGTAGCTAGGATTACAGGTGTGCACCACCATGCCTGGCTCACTTTTTTGTATTTTTAGTAGAGACAGGGTTTCACCATGTTGGCCAGGCTGGTTTTGAACTCCTGACCTCAGATGGTCTGCCTGCTTTGTCTTCCCAAAATGCTGGGACTACAGGTGCATGCCACCACACCTAGCAAATTTTTGTACTTTTAGTAGAGACAGGGTTTTGCCATGTTGGCCAGGCTGGTCTCAAACTTCTGACTTCAAGTGATCTGCCATCTCGGCCTCCCAAAGTGCTGGGATTACAGGTGTGAGCCCCTGTGCCTGGCCTGTTTTTTGTTTGTTTGTTTTAAGAGGCAAGGTCTTGCTATATTATCCAGACTGGTCTCAAACTCCTGGGCTCAAGCGATCTTCCTACCTCTGCTTCCAAAAGTGCTGGGATTATAGGTGTGATCCACCATGCCTGGCCCCTCCAGAAGCAAATTAATCTTGCTTTTGAACATGAGCAGTTTTCAAAATATAGGTTAGATTTTTATAACATGAGAAATGGGACTGTTTTTTCTTCCTTAGGTCTTGGTGTCTGAGGGGACTTGGTAGATGTTAGTGTCAGCAGTCTTCTCAACAGGACTTCCCATACAAAGAAATGCAGTGTGGCTTTTAGAATGTAGTCCCTTGCAAAGTACTGCCCTTTGTATATAAAACTGTTTCTGGCAGGTCGAAGTGGCTCAGCCTGTGATCCCAGCACTCTGGGAGGCCGAGGCAGGGGGATCACGAGGTCAAGAGGTTTCACTGGTTAACACAGTGAAACCCCATCTCTACTAAAAATACAAAAAAAATTGGCCAGGCATGGTGATGTGTGCCTGTAGTCCCAGCTACAGGGAGGCTGAGGCAGGCGAATTGCTTGAACCCACAGGGTGGAGGTTGCAGTGAACCAAGATTGCACTACTGCACTCAGCCTGAGCGACAGAGTGGGACTCTGTCTCCAAAAAAAAAACTATCTGACCTCCTCACCATAGAACATTTGATTTATGTTTCTGATTATGGTGGTTTGGGGATATTAAGACATCACTACTTGCTTTGCTGTCCTGCTCTTTAATGGGTGACACTGAGCATCTCACTGAGTTCTCAGTCCAGAGCAGCACCTGTTAAGTGCTTGTTAAATAAATGGATTCTGTAAGATGGTTGTTGAGGATTAGTGATATAGTACTATGATCAAGAAACAGAACTGTGAGCTAAGCAAGGTAAAATAGTACATAGGAGATTTCATCTGTAATTATGCACAATTTAAATCTTTCAAGCATTGATTCTGCACCTTCAATTTAAAGAAGAGTCAAAAATATTATTTAAGAAAAGTAAATGATATTTGGAAGCTGAGTGAAGTGATCTTATGATTTTTTAGACTAAATCAATTGCTTGTGTATTCTAGCATAGCCTTCACCCAGAAAAAGTAGAATCCTTTGAGGAAAGTGATGTTTCAACTTTGGGAATTAAAAAAGAGTATTCGAAGGAAGAATATCTCTGTTATAGTGAACTGTTTTTAACAGAGCAGGAAACATCATAAGGTTTCAGTAGATGTTTGTTTAATTGGTTTTATATTGCTGTTCTGGTCAAGAATTAGTAAGTTAGCTGCAAGGCTCAATTAAATACTAGAGCATCATAGAAGTTTAGAATTAAGAAATCCTGGGCCAGGCACGGTGGCTCACACCTGTAGTTCCAGCACTTTGGGAGGCTGAGGTGGGTGGATCACGAGGTCAGGAGATAGAGACCATCCTGGCCAACATGGTGAAACCCCATCTCTACTAAATATGCAGCAATTGGCTGGGCATGATGGCGCGCACCTGTGGTCCTGGCTACTCAGGAGGCTGAGGCAGGAGAGTCGCTTGAGCCTGGGAGGTGAAGGTTGCAGTGAGCCGAGATCATGCCACTGCACTCCAGCCTGGCGACAGAGCAAGACTCTGTCTAAAAAAAAACATGAAACAACCTAGTCAAGTCTCTAAATCTTATACAGTATAATCTGTATAATCTTACAGAGATTTAGAGCTATAGACATTGTTACTAAACATTGTTGAAAGAAATTTAAAGAAGGCACAAATAAAGGGGAAGACATTTGTGTCTGTGGACTGGAAAACTTAATAACATTAAGATGTCAGTACTACCCAAAATGCTCTACAGATTCAATTCAGTCCCTACCAAAATCCCAATGATGTTTTTTCCAGAAATAGAAAAGCTACCTTGAAATTCATATGGAACCTCAAGAATCC